TGAAATTATTTAAGAGGCCTATTATACATTCATATATTTTTATATCACTTTTCTATCTTTTTTATCAGAAAAATTAAATAATAAAATTTTGTAATCAAATAATTTTAATATTTTACTTTTAATAAATAGTATAGATGTTCTATTTAATTTATTTTATAACATGATTGATGTTAAATGAGATTTAAGTAATTATAATTTTGAAAAACTCCTTCAGAAGTAACAATAAATTTTTATTGGGAATATATAATTAACATTAATATTTAAAATAATGGTGGGTTATATAGGGTATAACCACCCAACAAATTCTTAATGAAAAAATATAATCAAAATTAAGGAAAAATTAAACATAAGTTTTGTGGAGTAGACTTATTTATAAATAAGTCTCACAAATTCAGAAATCACAAGTAGGTCCCTTGAAACTTGAGTACAATTTGAAATTATGGTAAAAATTATATCAGTCAAATAATTTACAGCTATTTTGTTTGTAATTTATAACCATAATTTTAATTTTTTACAACTATTACTTTAATTTTTTTTAGTTGAAATTATTGATGAAGTAGTTTAACTTTTTTAATAATGTATGATTATTTAACTATTTTCAGCTGTAAAAAGTTAAAATTATAATTATAAATTGCTAATGGAGTAGTTGCAAATTAATTATTTGATTAATGTAATGTATTTTAATAGGGATATTATTTTTTTTGCAACATAATTTTAAATTACACTCAAGTTTTAAGAGACTTCAAAGAATTTATTTGTGAATGAGTTTGTTTTATGGGACCTAAATGTAATTTTTCTAAAATTAATGCTTAGCAGAAAAAATAGTGATTTCCCATATAGGGTATAAGTAAACATTTTCTGAAGCCTAAGAAGACAGCCTTAATAGCCTAATAGCATGCACGACCTTGATAGTAGCTATAAATAATATTATATATATATATATATGTAGACATACATACCAGAAACGTGCATTATCATCATGATCAGGAAAAACTTTTTTAGCATCATCATAGGAAGAACCAACAATGGTGAAGCCTTCATGCCACATGACCTTGGAGAAGAATGGTGAAATGTTAGCTGAACCATACCCAGACTTAGCACCAGGAGACCTTAAGGCTTTTGCCTTTTGCTCAGTTGGGAGGGAAAAGAGGCGTTTGATCTCTTCGTCCACATCATTCAATTGAGATAATGGTATTCCATGGTTCTTTAGTTGAAAAATACCCCTCTCTTCACATGCAAGTCTTATTGCTTCCTTGACATTCGGATCCTTGAGGTCCACAACGGGCATGGAATCTGGTAAGCTCTTTGTTGAAGAAAAGTCCATGGGAATGTTTTTCGATGCTTCAATGGAGAGATCTCCAGCTATTTCAAGGATCTTCAATTTGATTATGTTTTAAGAATATTAAAACAAGTGCAATCAACTGTTGGAATAGTCAAATCACCAGTGGAGTATATATATACATACAAGAAGGATTGGATTCGTCCCTCTATTGATAGCTAATACATGTATATACACACACATTAATTACAATACATGTATCACATAAGTTTCATTAATTACATGCATGCACCACAATATAGTTGGGCTAAGACGAGGCTGACCCAATGAAAATAATAAAAAAAAATAACAGCTAAAAAAAGGAGAATTTGGGCAAATGAAATGATGGGATAAATATAAAAGAAAAATTTTTAAATTTGAACTTTCCAAATCTCATTTGGATGTTGAGCATAATGACTGAATCAGGACACAAACAAAAATTATCAGAGTCTCGTCTAGTCCCATGAACTCCTTTAAAAATGAGTGGGACATGTATGTTTCACAAATGATTTTAATCAGCCTCGACAATAATAGACCAAATTTATAATATGAAGACAATGATTTACATAATTTTGGTTTTATGTATATTTATCTATGAGAATTTTTCAAAATGTATGTTATTCACACAATTAAAATAAATATTAAATATATAAATATATAACCAAATATATATTGCATGTACCAACTGCAATAAAGATGCATCATGCATGTCATTTTAGATAGTGTTGAATTGGATCCTTTCTTGGTACAATAGGAAGAAGATGAATCACATTATTTTAGGTATATTATCAATGAGATTTTTTTTGAAGGTATATAATTCACTCATTTAATAAATATAATCAATAAATAATATACAATGAACAAAATCTTTCGTTATCATTCTTCCATGAGTCATTTCCTAAACCATCTACAATTCTACATATGCATATCACTATTCAAAGAATAATTAGAAGAAACCCAGCGCAAATGCATTGGATACGGTAAGTTTAAAATATTAATATCCTGCAAATCAAGAAAATTCATTGTTATTATTTTTTATGAACATAATTATTGTTATTAATTTGCACGACAATGTATTTAAGGGTCCCTTTGTTCAAAATAAAAAAAAAATGATTATTGCCACGAACGACATCGCCTCGGTGGCATTGTTCTCGGTTAAATTCCATTTCAGAAATACTATACATTCCTTTTATTTATATACATTAAATAATTATTATTGGTATGATTTTTTTTTAATTTTTGTATTTTTCACGTCAATTATATTGTGATTACTGGTTACCGTAGTGTCCAGCTGACCATGACTATTGAAATTTGGAAGTGTCTCGGTGACAAAAGAATGCATGTTTTTGCTTTTCTTTGTTAATGGATAAATCTTAATTGGGTTAAATAACAGTTTTGCCATTAAATTATAAATCTAAGACTGTATCTTCGACCCCAAACCCTTATTTTAATGCAATATTCTCTTTTAATATTTAAAAATTATGCAATGTTGCACATACTAGTAATAAAAATTAATTTTAATTGTTAGTGGACAAAATATATAAAAAAAGATTTCAAAAATTAAAGAAAATAATCAAAAAATTACTAATAAATATCTTATAAGAAAATTAATATAAATTAAGTTTCTTAAATTACAATAAATATTAAGAGACAAATATTATTTTTTATCAAAATACTATTTTAACCAGTTACTTGACAGGCTATCAAGTCTTGTCATCATTACTAACAATAAAACCGATAAATAAAACTATTATATTTATTTTAACAATATCATACTAAAATATTAATAATTTATTGTACATACATATAATAATTGATATATTATTATTATTATTATTATTATTATTATTATAACAACTCGTAACACACAATTTACAAATTAACTTATGATACTTATAATTTCTCCAAAAATTACAATTTAACTAATGTATTCGTGATTAAAAGTAAATGTGATCTTTTACAGATAATAATAATTAATTTTTTTAAAAATCATTCTTCTATAAATTTGAGATATACTAGTTAAACTGTTAATTTTTAAAAGAAGAATTATAAATTTTGGAAAAAATATTTATAAATAATAATAATAATATTTAAAATATATATTTAATGTTTAATACAATATTATTAAAAAAATACATTTTTAATTACTTATTGGTACTAGCATCAACAATGATGATCCAATAATTATCTAGTAGCCTGTTAGAGCCAAAATTAAAACTTAGTCTTTTACATGTAAAGGAAATAGCATTTGTCTTTTGGTATTAATTTTCTATTTGTTTGTAATTTTGAAGTTTTTTCTGTAATATTTTTGGACTTGTTTCTTTTGTGGTAATTTTGAGGATATTTTTTATAATTTTCTAGCTAATTAACGATTTAAATTAACATAAAGGTAGAGGTAATATTACACCTTTTTAAATATTTAAGATATATATTATACTAAAAATAAATTTAGAATCTTAGGTACTTTTGAATTTATAGTTTAAAGAAAATTGCTTTTTAACTCATCTTAATTTAAAGATCATGAGCAATTTTTTTTAGCTTCATCACAGGAAGAGCCAATAAATAATGGTGAACCATTAGTTAAAAAATTAAAATTGTATCTCCTCCCTCAACACAGTTAGATTACAATCTGTTATGGTTAATATCTGAGGCTCAATTAAGTATATAATAATCATATTAACAAAAGACATATTTGGCATAAACGCTAAGGTCATAACTGAAACAAAAAATTCTACACTTAAAAGACCATTTTTTCCTTTAATTTTTTTGAAAAATGATGGGCATTCTATACTAAAAAATGTAACAACGTTCCCACTAAAAGCAAAATCATCATTTCATTAAAAACTCGTCATCTATAAATTAGATCGACAATCAAATGATTAATGTAATAATTAAATAAAAATAATATTTATATACACACGCGTGTACACACATATATATAATATTAAAAATCTTGGTATCATATTAACAAGAGACATATTTGACACATACCGCTAATGCCATAACTAAGAAACAAAAATTTCTACATTTAAAGACCATTTTTTCCTTTGATTTTTTTTTTTTAAAATAACAATGAGCATCCTATACTAAAAGGTGTGACGATATTCCTTCTAAGAACAAAATCATCATTCCATTAGAAACACGTCCCCTACAAGTTAGATTGACAATCAAATGATTGATATAATAATTAAATAAAAATAATATTTATATGTACACGCATGTATATATAATATTAAAAATCTTAGTATCATTTTTAATTCAGAGTTATTCAACCATAACATCTTAGGTTTCAATTTTTTCATTTTTTTTTCGTATGTATACTTTTTTTTAATTTACTTTATTTGTTACAAATAAGTTTTCAATTTTCTCTACAACTTAATTCATTTAATTCCTATAAACAAATCATGCACTTAAAATTTTATTATAACCTGAAAAAAAAAATCAATATTTTGAAATTGAATAAATAATTTTATTACTAAAATAAAAGCAGAAAAAACCACATTAATTCTGATTTTGTCTAAACTGTCACGCTCAAAAATGGTCCAATCGCCAAAACAGGTTATCTAGTCAAACTGAGCCGGTGAAGTTTGATACCATGAAACTGAGTAATTTTCCCTATTCTTTATTCTTTCTTTTTTCTTTTTTCTTTTTTTTTTTGGTGGCGAAATATAAGCTCTTTTGGTTCTCTTTTATCTTTCCGAATATAGTAAAATGTACTCAGGTTTACCATCCTCAAATTTAGAGGATCCAAGTCCAATACAACAAATGACAGCAACTAAATCCTAACACAAATAGCTGATTTAAATCTATCATTCCAACTCTTTATCAGGTCCCAAATACAAAGTACAACATGCAGAAACAATAACAAGTAACAATCCAATAACCTGACTGAAAGATGGAGCCGCTCTTGAAAAAGCAAGCCTCCACAATTGTGATAATTCCACCTGAAATTAAAAGGGATTGCCTGTATCAGTCACCAGAACAGGTTTTCAAGTCTCAAACTAAGGAAAACAACAAGGCGAGCAAAGCAGTTCTTGCTTAGTGACAGATATACATAGCTATTAAGGGGCATATAAAATCTCTCGAATATTATTAATAAAATCAGGAACTCCATCATGAAAGATTGGATTGTTACTTTTAATCAATTTTTTTTTTTTTCATGAAGCAAATAGATGTAAGGATTGGCTTGTTTGCCATGTGCCTCATGACAATCTTGTCACTATGATCTTTCAGAAACTACCATTAGATTGTAGAAGCTTTATATGCTCTAATACGAACTAATTATTACCCCTACACGTTTTTTCCTGCATTGTATTTGAAAAAAAGGACATATAAAATGAAGAGCTAATAAATATAAAGTAATGGGAATTCAAGACAAATGATTGGTCCCGTATGATTTCTTTCTTTCTTTCTTTGTTTTTTAAATGATTGGGGTAAATTTGAGTATTGTTAGGCTCAATTGAAAATAGTTTTCTCGAAGATATTTTCTACATTCACACAAACTTGAGACGTCATGTTTAAGCAGCCACAATTCCTTTCATTTAAGGCCGGCAACTGTTTTTTTTTTAATTATTATTATTTTTATTATTATTATTATAGCAAGCAAGTAGCTTGCTAGAGGGGCCAAACCTGTGATCTACACCACACAGAGTGAGCATAATGCCACAGAGCCACTGAACAAATGATCTGTAAGATTTCTAATATGAAATGCCATGTTGCCTACTTACAAACTCTAGTTTCTAAACAATTTTCACATGATTGATAGAACTTTTTCCCCCAGCATAACATTAGTCCAGATCCTCTATAATAAATAAATTATTGCATGTAGTGCTGAAAAAAGACGTAGCAGAGAGAAAAAATTTGGATGTGTATAAATAAATGAAACGACTCTTATACACTCCCATTTCTTCGTACCACACTCTGTCTTACAACATCACAGTACCATAGCAGAGGGTCAAAACTGTAAAACATTGGTCCATAAGATTGATAGGAAGTGTTTAATAGGATTACGGGTGTTCTTGTTTCCATCATTAACTGTAAGCAACTATATAGGGTTTGGTAAGTTACTTCCTCACTTTTCTGTATTAAGTTGGGTGATGAAATGAAGAGAAAGAACAAATGGAAAGTTTTCTGTTGAAGTAGTTCTATTTTCAAAGTTCAAGCGAATGGAAACACTTCCAAATTATAGCGAAGGAAATAGAAATAAGATAACTGGCAGTATAATTAGCATACCTCCAAGTATAGGAGATTGACAATTTTCCCAATCCTCTCAAGTTGCAGTCCACGTGCTAACAATACCTGCAAGAGATTTATGAACAAATGATTATTCAACAGTGAAGAGCTGATAGTGTTTGAACATGGAGAAAATATGGAATTGGAGGAAAAGAAAGAGAATATGGGCAAAGGAAAGAGAATTGTCCCTTTTTCTTTTTGTTTTTAATAGGCAAAAATTAGGAAAACAAATTAATACAAGAAACTTCTTCAATCTCACAACATAATAAACAATTAATCACCATCAGTTGTTAGTCCATTAGGTCGGGGAATCTAGACTTACAATTCCCATTTTTCATGTGAGACTCCTTGATACAAGACTTATAACAAATAATAATACACCTTCATTTAAAAATCAACATCATTGGTAGACGCACTCCACGACACTTAGTGGCACCTCATTCAATTTCAACATCAGTCAGAACCATCTAACAGTTTGAACCCTCCATAAATAGCCCTCTCCGTAGTATTGGCCTCCCAATGAAAGAACCATTGTTATAAGTACAAGTTTGAAAGGAAAACCATGTCAAAAGACTAGTCCATTGCATAGGAAAAACTCCTAAACTGATAGGTCCCACTTTTCATGCAAGACCCCTAACATGGGATTCATAACATGGCGTAAGCACTAATTGAGCTCCATAAAGAAGCTGAAGTGACATCTCTCATCTCCATTAATAAATAAGCTTCTATTTAAGAACAATCAATATAAAATATAAAATCTATAACAAGTCATATTATTCATAGGGCGTCAAGGACACAACTAACTCTTTAGGTTCTATGCAATGCATAGAGGTTCTACCCATCCTAAATTGATCAAATTCATAAGACGTCAAGGACACATCCTGATTCTTTAGGTACACAAACAGTTCCTTCTCCCATCTCTATTCTCTGTATTTTGATTGCCATCATTTTTTAAGGCATGAAGAATGCAAAATGTGAATCCATGCACTGATGTCTATTTTGACAATCTGTATTCAGCTTCCTTTAACTTTGTATCATGTCAAGAAATGCAGAACTCAAACTGTAGAGAGGTGAGCAGGGAGCGCAAAAAATGTCATGCATGCTGACGTATTCTATTTCATTCCTGGTTCAGGTTGTCTTTTCCGTTATACTCATCACAATTAACACAAACTATGTTTTCATATACAGATTACAGAAAAAGTTCCATCACAAACCTTTCAACAATACAAGTGGAATGGTCAAAATGCTAGCATCCTATTCTGGTGGCTGTTCAACAAGTATCTTTCATTTCCTCCTTTTTATTGGCTAGCTATAACTTAGGGTGCTTTAAATTTAGGTTGTTATTATAGCAGTAGGATGCAGGAGGATTAATTTATACCGTTCATACATGAATATTTTTTGAACATGTACCCTAATCATGCTTGTCTATGAAACACATCAGATGTCGTGTATAAATGGCATGTCATGTTTATAAATGAAAAGTGAAGAAATGTTAAAGTCACTTTAAACGAAGAAATAGCCGGTTACTTATTTCATTGACTTCATGAATCTAATTTCACAGGTAGTTCTCTAAAAAATGTCATAATACAGTGTGAACCAAGAACAATACTGTTGAAGCTGTATTCCACGATGATCAAAAAGTGCAATATATTAGAGTAACACAGTGCAGGATATTCTTTTTGCTTCTAATATCTCACTTCCCCTTAACTGATGATCACCAAAAAAACCAAAAATTCTATGCAGTCCTTAACTAATAAGCATGATGAGCCTGTTATCCAACTCACTGACTGTTTATATCACAATTTTGTTTGAAAAATAAAAGAACAGGATCATAATATAGTCTAGAATAGCACCTCGGCAAAGAAGGCAAGAACACTAAGTACAAGCATGAGTATAATTGATTGAAATCCTGGGAGCACAAAATCCTGCATCAACAAGACAAGGTTTTAATTTGTTGAAATATTAACAAGTTCACAAGAGAGATAACAGAGACTAATATTGACAAGGAATTTTGTGAAGATAAAAATGCTAACAATAACTGGCTTGACCAAACCCCATCTGATGTGTCCTAAAGGTAGGTAGCCATATGTAAATTCTTAGATGTTCATTTCTCACCTATATCCATCTTTTCCTTTCAAATGTGATATAAAATAGATGATGGTACTCAACAAAACTATGGTGCCTTAGAACTTTGACATATAAATTAATTTTTTTTATCTGGGCATCAATCATCTTCTAGGAACTCATACAACCATCTATCTGTCCTCCATGATTCCTAAAATAACTTTTATTCACCCATTTAAGGTATTTAACGAGGAAAATATATTTGATGTAAAACATCATGAAAAATCATATCCTAAAGCAAAAGGTTATAGGATAGATGGTAAAAAAGCTAATAATACTAAATGATGATTTTAAAATGCTGGCATAGTAAGGGAGGAAAAAACATCAGAAATTTCATGGAATTTGCTGCTCTTTTACCCTGTTACCAGACATTTCTGACCAGCGTCCACCTGGAGTAGGTTACCAATGGCTTGGTGGTCGTATAACTAAGCATTTACCCAGAAATAGCAGCTTAAATGCACCATGACTTTACCTCAAAGAAAAATGTACATATGGCCATCACCGGGCTAGCCAGCATGCTAAATGTAAGGACGGTTACCCTGGAAGAAGGCAGAATTTCAGAGGTTACAGGCGTTATAAAAGCTCTCTAAACTATTCCATTAGAAAGAGAAACTCACATGCATATTTTTCCTAATATGCCACGTCCCCTCTAATTTCACTGACTATTAGTGTCTCATGGGTTAGATAAAGCATGTAACAATTTTATAATCAAGCGCGCTTCTACCTACCATACCACAGCAATTGCACTATGCAGCGTGACAAATTTTAATTTGTCAGAGTATCTTGGAACATAATCAGCAACATGCATGTCAAAATCCACCAAACTGGACATTCCATGATGTATATGGTGTGACTCCAAAGTTATCAGATACGTGAATCTTGATATGTTGTTAATATATAGCTAGCTAACTATGATTTATTTTTCAACGTTAAACAAAACACTCCAATTGTTGCTAAGAAAAAAACAGGTCCGTGTTTTTCATTTGAAAAAAAAAAAAAAATCCCGTTTGTCAAGTTTCATTCCCTTTTTTATTGTAACAGAGCAATGGTCATGAACTCTCAACAACTTATTATGACCTTATTTCTCAATTTTTTGCAAAGATTCTATCCAGGCTAACTCCGCCTATGTTTATAGCCGGTCCCAAGCCCGGGTAAAGGAGGAGGGTTGTGTTAGGCCATCAACAGCCAATGTAAAACTTTGTTAAATCTATCATGAACATGGACAATAGACATTATAATGTTAATGCTAGGTCGTTGCCCGTAAGTAACGCGCTGCATGGCTCGAGTACAGTGATAAGTGAGTTAGAGCCGCTGCATCGGCGCCTGGATGTAGTGTTAAATGAGCAAGGACTACCGCGTCATTCTGGACGCACGCGGCTAAAGAAGTTAGTCCATAAGAGCAAAATTAAATTTGGTACTTGGAATGTTAGGACATTAAATTGTAAATCTGTAGAGGTTGTAGGGGTTATGATTCAAAGGAAAATCAATATCCTTTGCCTGCAAGAAACAAAATGGCGTGGAGAAGAAGCTAAGGATATTCAAGGTTTCAAACTTTGGTATACAGGAAAAGTAAGTGCACGCAATGGAGTAGGCATCATTATAGATAAGGAGTGGAAGAAGAGCATTGTAGAAGTTAGCAGAATTGGAGACAGAATTATTTTCTTAAAAATGATAATTGGACGTGAGACTGTTAATATTGTTAGCGCTTATACGCCGCAAGTCGGGACAGAAGCCAATCTTAAGGAATTATTTTGGGAGGATCTGGAGGGGTTGATTCGACACATACCACAGAGTGAAAAGACTTTTATTGGAGGAGACTTTAATGGGCATGTCAAGAGGGAAGCTGGTCAGTATGCGAGGGTGCATGGTGGTTTTGGTTTTGGAGAGCTAAACAATGAAGGACAAACTCTTCTTGATTTCTCATTGGCATATGATTTTAAGATTGCCAACACTTGTTTCAAGAAGAGAGATGAGCATCTCATCACTTACAAAAGTGGAGCCTCAAGGTCACAGATTGATTTTCTTTTGGTTAGGAACACAGATAGAAGACTTTGTAAAAATTATCAGGTGATCCCCGGAGATGCTGTAACGACACAACATAGGGTCCTAGTCCTTGATGTGTGTATTGTGAGTAAAATCTAAAAACGTCGACAAGTAGTAGCACCAAGGATTAGGTGGTGGCAATTAAAAGGTGAGAAGCAAGATATTTTCAAGCGAAATCTTTTGGATAAAGGAATTTGGGAATCTCAGGGAAGTGCTAACATCATATGGGAGGATATGGCTAAAAAGATACGGGAGGTTACAAAAGTAGTTTTGGGAGAATCAAAAGGTTCTGGTCCGAGAGATAAGGAGTCTTGGTAGTGGAATAATAGTGTACAGGACAAAATCAAGTATAAGAAGAACTGTTTTAAAGCCATACATTTGTGTAACAATGAAAAAAATTGGGAGAGGTACCGTATGGCTAAGAAGGAAACTAAGAGAGTTGTGGGTGAAGCTCGTTCTAAAGCTTTTGAAGAATTTTATAAGAGCCTTGAGACAGAGGAAGGAGAGCGAAATATTTATAAAATTGCCAAGAGTAGGGAAAGAAAATCAAGAGATCTAGAACAGGTAAGGTGTATTAAGGATGAAGAGGGAAGAATTTTAGTTATAGACGATGAAATTAAAAATAGATGGGAGACTTACTTTTCTAAACTTTTCAATGATGGAGAGGATTCATCTAGTAACTTGGAGGATTTAGTAACTGGTGAAGGAGAACAAAATTTGTCATTCTATCGAATAATATGTGATAAGGAGGTAAAGGAAGCTCTTAAGAAAATGGCAAATGGTAGAGCCAACGGACCTAATTGTATATCTATCGAAACGTGGAAATGTTTAGGTGAAGAAGGGGTGAGATGGTTAACTAAGTTATTTAATGTGATTTTACGATCCAAGAAAATGCCTGATGAGTGGAGGAGAAGTACATTAATTCCTATTTATAAAAATAAAGGAGATATTCAGAATTGTACTAACTATAGAGGGATTAAACTCATGAGCCACACAATAAAATTGTGGGAGAAAGTAATTGAGCATAGGTTGAGATTGGAGACAAGTATTTCTGAGAATCAATTTGGTTTTATGCCAGGTAGATCAACTACAGAGGCGATTTATCTACTAAGGGGATTAATGGAAAAGTATCGTTGTAAAGATAAAGATCTACACATGGTTTTTATTGATTTAGAAAAAGCTTATGACCGTATGCCAAGAGAAGTGCTTTGGAAAGCGTTGGAAAAAAAGGGAGTACGGATTGCTTATATTAAAGCCATACAAGATATGTATGAGGGGGGAAAAACTAGTATAAGAACGCCTAGTGGTCAAACAAAAGATTTTCTTATAAAGATTGGACTACATCAGGGATCATCTCTGAGTCCTTATTTGTTCAACTTGATCTTAAATGTTTTGACAGAACATATTCAAGGGGAAATTTCGAAATGTATGCTCTTTGCGGATGATATAGTTCTTATGGCAGAGACAAGAGAAGAGGTTAATTGCAAACTTAAGTTATGGAGGAGGACATTGGAGTCGAAAGGTTTTCGTCTGAATAAAAGTAAGACGGAATATTTATATTGTAAATTTGGCAAAGGACTATTGGACAATAATTTGGAAGTGAAATTGGGAGATCAAATTATACCTCAAGTGGAAAAGTTTAGATATTTGGGAGCCATTATTCAAAATGATGGCGAAATCAGTGGAGATATTTCACATAGAATTCAAGCTGGGTGGTTTAATTGGAGAAAAGCTAAAGGAGTTATTTGCGACCGTAAGGTGCTTAATAAACTTAAAGGAAAGTTTTATCGCACTGCTATCAGACCGGCAATGTTATATAGTAGTGAATGCTGGGCTCTAACGGGACAGCAAGAGCATAAAGTTGGAGTAGCAGAAATGAGAATGTTACGATGGATGTGCGGACATACACATAAAGATAAAATTCGAAATGAGCACGCACGCGAAAAAGTTAGGGTGGCACCTATTGAGGAAAAAATGGTAAAAAATCGGTTGAGATAGTTTGGGCATGTACAAAGAAGACCAAGGGAGGCACCAGTGAGAAGAGTGGAACATATAACTTTGAGTCCGATTAAGAGAGGTAGAGGAAGGCCTAAGAGAACACTCTTGGAAGTTGTTGAACGCGATCTCGTAATTAATAATATTCCTAAAAGCTTGATAAATGATAGAGCACAATGGCGTCTTGCAATCCATATAGCCGACCCCACCTAGTAGGATAAAGACTTGTTGTTGTTGTTGTTGTATTCTATCCAGGCTACAACCTCAAAGCCTAAATAATAAGTTAGCCAGTTTTTTCACCATCTCAAGATCATTGCAATTATCTTATAAATAAACCTTTTGTCTCCCATCCATCATTTTAGCAGGTTAGCATTGCCGTTGCTTAACTTGCTCATGAATCTTAACCTTTCCAATTAAGTATATCTTAGTGAAATATAGTTCTTGCAAATTTGCTGTTTAATGTTTTATATTTTTATCTTTGTTATTTCTCTTCTCTGTCTAGATCATTATATTGCCGATTTTTAGGGAATAGATAGTTTCAATGTCTTGCTTTTATTTCCCCCCTGTAATCACGTCATGTGTCTTGGCCTTGGACAGCAGGACTGTTGCTAGCCTAAACCATTAGCAGTATAAGAGAGATTTTCCCCATGCTCTTGTTCAGTATATATACTGAAAGATTCTAAAAGAATTGTAAACTATAAATCAACAACATTTGGAACAAAGTTTTAGGCCACCCTAGGACATTGCCTACCATAATAATGGCAATAAAATAAAACTACAAATGAAGAAAAGTAAGGCATAAAGTTAATAGCTTGGAAATTATTTTTTTATACTTTGACTTCCGGTTGGGCCAAAGGGCTTTGCATTTGATCCTCTTCTAGTCCCCAAAAAGCATGTGAGTCAGAGTATAGACACCCAAGAAAATAATAATGACAAATTATATACCAGCCAAAAACTTTATGATCTTACAGTGGCTGATCAGAAGCTTTTGCTCCAGCCCTTATAAGGCAGTAGCTGGCTCCGCCAGTAATTGATGAAACGAGACCAAGTAATACTGCAAATAGATGACTTCCTTTATAATTTGCATCTCTTTGCTCCTCAGCTTTAACTAGCTGTCCTGAAATTCCAAAAATAGAGAGTAGTTAAGCTGAACATGCGGTTCTTACTGAAAGCATCAAACAATAAAATGCAGACTAGACCTCTCAATTATTAGAAATAAATAAAAAACAAAAAACATTTTATTAGAACTAGATAAACTCATAGACCTCAACATTCTCAAAGTCTAGGACATGCAAGTCCTTTAAAGATGCCCAAAGCTCACTCCTAAAATTTTTATCCAGGGAAGGCTTCTAATATGATGAATTAAAGCATTTACAAAAAATAACAATGAGCAAGATCCCTGAATCTAAAACACAAAAAAATGAATTCAAACTCACCCAGTACATACATAGATTTAAATTGTGCAAGCCAACTACAACATGAAGGAACAAATATTCAAATTCATAAATTATATGAAAAATGATGCATTCACGAGACTTAGAACAGAAATCTACCTTGCGTAGCAAGCATTTCATGGAAAATGAAGAGCACACCAAAGAAACTGCAAGCAAGGCCTGAAATAAAGATGACAATAATAACCAATCATTACTATGTATCTTATTGCTAAACCAAGTGTCTGGCTGTTCTCAGCAGTGACACACTAATTCAGAATTTTTTAGTACAATTTATTCCTCCACAACAATGGCTATGTTTTATATAAAATATCTTATTGTTAGTAAGATAATAGTTACATTTCCTCTTTGCATACAAATACAGAGATCGATAGAAAAGAAACGAACCCCAACCAAAGAGAAAGTGAAGGCTTTCAAGGTTTGAAGCATACAATTTTAGGGTTGTTAATTGGGGTAAGGATTCATGGGCATGGCCTGAAATATCTAATAACAACAAGTCCAAGAATATAGAATGTCAAAAACATGTATGGAAACAAGACCTTGTCAAATGATTATCAACCAAGGAGACGGTTATTCCACCTAAAAATTGCCCAACCAGACTACAATTCTTTGGGTTCTTCACAGAAATATACATATTTAATCGCATTGGATCTTAAGAACTGAATAAAAACACTTTACCTGAAATGTCTGCAATTTTCAACTTCTCATGCAAAAAGATCCTTGCTATAATTGATGCCATAATAGGAGTTGTTAAATTTAATACAATAGCCTGAGAGAAAGGCAACCTCTGAACACTGAAATGAACAGAGTTCTTGTTATCAAAGTAGTTTGCAACTAATTAAATTCTAAAGGAGCATCAAGACAGAATTACATCCTGCATTCAGACCTTTACTACTTCATACTTATGAGTTACAAGAAACATACAAATGCAATGCAACATCCACAAATGCTTTTACTGGATAGTATATAGGGTGGCTGCTAATGCAATTACTGTATTTGTATAGACTCAATAGCTTTTGATGGTATGCCATCAGCCATCTGTGGAACACTCAAAATATTCAAAAAAATCTATGATCCCATAATCCTAAAACTATGATAAATTTTCTTAAAAAAAAAAAAAAGTCCAGTGAAAAAATCTTCAACGAAGAAATTAGGCAATAGTATCAAGAGTGATCTATGAAATGCTTAAAAAAATATTGAGAGAAAAAAATTCATAAAACAAGTAAGCAACTCACCAATATACAAAACTGGACAAAGAAAAACAGCCTACAAGGGCCCTTGAAATCAAAATATTCCTAACATGGGATGTTGCAAAAAGTGGCTGCTCACCCCTTCTCAACCAAATATACGACAGTACCAACATAACTGTACATCTCGTGAATGCAGCCTCAAATAAAGGAATCCCCTGAACTGCCAAATCAAAAATTTAGTTTAAAAATCAAAATAATGAACAGACAAGAAAAGTGATTATATGAAGATAATGGTAAATCTTGAAGTTGGAAAAGCATGTAAAATATATATATATATATATATATATCTGAACAACCACAAAGCGTGAAAAGTTTACTGGACAGGACTGTAAATCTAGCATGAGTAGATTACAGTGACTTTACTTGAGGCTTGCTAAAACTACTTGCATCTACCCTCCTGGTTTAAAATGTGCACCAACCAACCCTATTTAAATTACATACAGGACAATTTAGAGATATGACCTTGTATAAATTTTATGTAGACACATATACTCCCTACTACTGCCTTCCTTACAGGTGAAATGTCAAAGAAGAAAAGACCAGTGTAGTTTCTTATTAAAAGGGCAAGGATCCGTAACCTTGCCAACCCTCAGTAAATGTCAGTGTAATTTACCGAATCAGCATAGCTATCTGATGAAGACTCTTCAAGGATAACTACACTTCCAATAATGAAGATAAGATATTCCTTCTGTTCACTCCACCAACCCATCTGAAGAAGGTATATGATAATCCCTTTTTTGGCAAATAGAAAACATGGAGGGGGAGGAGGGGGATATAGTAAAAGGCTGTTGCTATAAGGATTTAAAAGAAGCCAACCTAGATTTTTAAGGATAGATGCAGTATGATAGAGAAATACAGAAAAACAATATCAGGAAATTTCAAATATATGTTTATTTAATTGACTGAATACTATAGGGCTGGGCAACAGCAAATGAAATAATCATTAAAGGTCTCGGTGTATCCTTTTTTTTCCTAAACAGAATTGCACACATGTTTCATCAGCACAGTTATGATAGTGCAACCAAAATAGCTATATTCATCTAAACTCCTTTTTTGTTGCTTAATTAATTCTGCAGACACTAATATCTTGCAGAGTAAAATACAGTGCAGAACTGAAGAACTTACCAGAAAAAAAGTAGGAAAGAACTTCCATAAGAAAGTAGGTAGCAGATGAAAGGACCATACAAAGTAAACTAGAGTATCTGGATTCGCTCCATACCCGCAACATGAAATGAGTCAAAGGAGAAGGCTCTGACTCAAGTAATCTTGTTACTTCATCCTGCGACAATATTGATTCCAGAAATCTGCTTCACTTTCTTCTCTCTCAAATTTGATCGACAATATTAAAAACAAATATTTTCTTCTAACTGTACGACAAAGCTAAGTCATTGTTATTAATTGTCATATCGGATTTGACAGGATTCAGGGTTATAAAAGTTAGTTAAACGTTAGTTACTAGCCGCTAGGTAGGGGAGTGAACAGGAAGCTATAAATAGATGTTCCCTGCTTGTAAATTCTGACTATGACATGAACAAGAATCCTCAGTGCACTATTCAGTTTGAATCCTCCTCTGTTCTTCCCTTGTCTAATCTCTTCTAACCTCTCGACCTCTCTTCTTTCCCTCTCTTATCTCTCTTTCCAAATTACAAATATCTATCATTCATCTAAAGCAAAAGGTTGTCCAACGAGAATATACTCCAAAATCTTAAATGAAAAATTCCCCCGTTTTGTATTTGTTGTTATATTTTGTAGCTTGTAACTGTATTTCAACAGGTAAATAACTATGTGGCCAAGAAAAAGAAAAAAATGAAAAACGAAAAGAAAAAGAAGAAGAAGAAGAAGGCAATCAATAAGATAAGTTTGATTTTTGTCCTTATCATAGGCAATTTGAAGGACAGACCCACGCAAGGAAGAAAGATACTAGTTTTGTAATCCGTTTGGCACTTGCCAGACATTAATTACTCCTGTGACTCATTTGTGGCAAACACACATTCTGGAAGCCCCTTTCACTCAATCTTTTCAATTTGTTAATCATCCTATAAAGAATTCTTCCTGCTGTTGAAGACAGAAATATACCTCACAAATAAAAGATGTGCTGATAAACTTCCCTCTCCTTAAAAATTTCAAAATGAACACCTCTAAATTTTTAAATTCGTGCAGATAAATCCCCACTACCAAAACAATCTATTATTCTATTATTTTATTAATTATTAATAGAGCGTGAGAAGAGATCATCTGCGCTGGACTTTTAAGTTAATAGAGATTATCTACGCACAAACCAAAATTTTAAACTATTATCTTCGCAAAAACTGATGCGTCATAATACAATAACAGACTAATTAACCACAAAGAATTATTTGGCGAAAAATTGAAATTTTAATAAATTGTTTTTTCTTTTCCAGTTTTAAAGTCACATTCAGAGAGTTCCGAGTAATTCACCTTTCTTAACTAAAATCTGGAAGACTTGATGACAAGCAGAAAAAGACAAACTAAAAATTACTCTGTATTTTCTTCGGGGATAAGAGATGCTGAAGATGTTGATCCTGGGTCTTTCGGGCTGCGTGAGCAGAGGGCCAAAGTCCTCCGAAACTGCAACAGCATCAGCATCAGCATCGCCTGCCGAAGCTGAGGCATCACGCACGATTAGCTCTACGATACGATCTTCATCGTTGGGCTCGAGAGACGCCATACACGTTAGGCTTGGCACACTCGCATCCCACGTTCCTCTTCCTTGGACAGTTGACTCCTCATTTCCTGATTAACTTGATAGATTTATTCCCCATGCGGAGGATATTTTACTATTTAAAATTAAAATTTAAAATTTAAAGGTAAAAATAAAATGAAAATAAAAAATAATTTATTTGAGTCTACTTAAAATTAGAATTTGTTATTTAAATTAAATCTAAACAGTATTTTATTTTATTTTAAATTTTATTTTGCATATACATATTAAATAGGGTTAATGAGTAAATAATACCCTGAACTATTACTAAAAAATATCCTAAATCATGAACTCTTAAAATATGCAAAATAAAAAAAATCTTTAACAGTATCAGTGTTAAAAAATTTAACGGTCAGAGTTTATTTTGCTATGAATTTAAAAGTTTAAAATTTATTTTATATATTTTAAGAGTTTAAGGTCTAGGATGATTTTTGAACAAGAGTTCAAGGTCCTATTTACTTATTAATCCTATTAAATATATAAATAATAAATTATTTTATTTTAAATGTATTCCCCTATAATGAACATAATGGTCTTTCATACTTGTGCTCTTCTTTTAATCAATATGAGGAAAATTTTAAAATTAAATTTAAAAATAATTTCACTATTAAGCTATGCCTAGTATAATGAAGTTTTTTGGCCAATCTTGAAGAATATAATTTATCCTCCATCAAATATTAGGGACTTTTACACATATAGTCATATCATAAAATTAAATAAAAACATAGCCTATCCTTTCTTAAATTTTAAAAATGACTTTTTTAATATTTAGTTAATATTTAATTTACAAAACTACCTTTTTTAATATATGCTTTCTACAAATAATAGAAGGAACTCAAAACGCAAGAAATCAGGTGAATAAGGGAGATAAACGTAAGAGAGAAGATGGAACTTGATGCGAGAGAGACAACTATGAGAAAGCAGAGCAGTGTGAATGAGCCACTGTTATGACAATGAGAGATAAACAAGCGATGAGAGACATTGATAGTACTCAACGGAATCTAGTATATGGATGATTTTTTTATTTTATTAGTTCAGGTATTTGATCTTTCATGATAAGCTAAGAGTTTAGAATTTCTCATGGACTGTGTTTGATTTATTTTGAATAAATGATTATGTGTTTTTTGTGTTACTAATCTACAAGACTATATTATCTATATACGGCTGTATATCAATATAAATAAATTTGTATCTAATTGTCTGGTTATGTTATTCTGTGAAAGTATATAAGTGATATACTATTGTATATCACTGATATATAAGCCATATTAGTGAAAACTTACCAACACTATTTTACTATAAAAATAATAAAATAGTTTAGATATATCATGTTAAAAAGTTTAGATATTTGCTGAAGGGAGTTTTTGTTGGGCAAAGAAAAAATATCACATTCTAACTAAATTTGTGAAGGGCCATGCTCCAAATTTTTGTAAACCCTGTCTAGAATTTTTGAAACTCGTATATTTTATGGCCACTATGCTAATTTTTTGCAAATAAATATTATTACATCTATCCATTATTGCTCTTACAAATTAATATGTGAGTAAGAACTTTTGGTTATTATGTATTACTTTCATCCATAACGAAAAATATAAACATTTTTTAAATTTCTCACCTCTTTCAAATTAAAATAAAATTAACTTAATCTCTTTTAAAATATGTTGGCTCATTCCTCACCCAAGAAAAAAAAATGAAAAATGTTCTATAATAAACCACATACAATAATTTATGTCATAATAATATCTATAAATCATAATTATAAACAAAATTTAAAAATAAATATTTTATAATTAGCCATAAGTATTAACTTATTTTACCTAAATACAACTTATTTTATGATATTTTCTTGTAAATATAACAAATATAAGCAACAAGTTGCTTGATTGTATTATTCTCACACAAATTAAAATTTTAAAAATAACTTGTTTTATTTTATAATTTTTTCCATGTATATGTTGATAGCATAAATAACATACATACTCGTGTAACTTAAAAATCTATATATAAAATATTTGTTTCCCAATTCATATTAAAAATATAAAGAATACTTTTTATTATTCCATTTAATTTATAAAATAAATTAATTTATTTTATAAATTTTTATGTATATATTGAAAACATAAATAACACATAAACTTTGTGTATATTAAAATTCTATACATAAAAAATTCATTACCAAAACAAAATATTTTAGACATCAAAACTAAATTTTTTTATTTTATAAATTTTTTATGGATCCCACACCTTTTTTTTTTAATTTTTGTTATGAGTCCCATATGAACTCTTAATATACAAATATTGAATTGAAAAAATATATTTACCAAAAAGATTTAAAAAAAAAAGAAAAAACCTGTTCATCTGACTATAGATAGACCGTACCATGATATGCATTTTACTAGATTTTAGATCTGTGTGATGCATGAAAGCATGAATCCACATTGTTTAAGAGAAATGGAATAAAAAAGAGTGAAAGTTAAATTTTATTAATTTTTTTAACAGACAAGACAAAATAACTATATATTTTAATTTCTTTAGTAACTTCTATTAATTATATTTTTTATTCCTACTATAATATAATAATTTTTTTAGTTATTAGAATATATAAATATAAATATTTTATTTATTTTCACACAATTTATTTCAGAATATACAAGAAATATTACTAGTATTTTATTTAAAAAATAAAAGATATTTTTAAATAAATATTTCCCATAATAAAGTAGTCAAATATTCTCAAATTAACATCATCTTTTCATAATTAACCTTGTCTAATAGGATATTTTATTAAAAAAATAAAATAATGTCTGAAGGAGAACGGGAGAAAAAGTAACTTTTAAATGTTTTATTTTCATCTATTATAAAAATTAAAAAACTAGAACATCCTTTAATAGTTTATTATTTTTTATTCTATGAAAATAGAGGAAAAAATACATCATTTCTTTCATAAATAATAGATTTATTAAATTGTTACTAATACTAAAGTGCATCCTTCTTTCATTTTTTTTAATAAAATCACTCTTTCATTCTTCATTCACTACTCTTGGATGTATTTTTATTAAATCACTTTGTTTTGATGATAATAAAAGCAGTACAAAGATTGTTTTGCAGGGATTATTACAATATTGTTCAACAAAACGATCAAGTTGAAGAGATATAAGAGAAGACTTAAATCTTTAGCATTTGACTTTTTTTGAGTCGTAATTTTTCTTTTCTTTTCTTTTCTTTTCTTTTTTGAAGCAAAGCAAATAGAAAATTATATTACAATAACAAAAATTGTAGTGCAAGATGCAGAGTCCAAGGAGAAAACTGAAAACTGAAAAGAAAAGATCGACATCAATAAGCTTAATACTAAAATGTGAGAGGGGATATAGTAGAGAAAGAGCATCCTTAGAAACAAGATGCGTAGAGGCCCAATAAAGCAAATCATGAGTGATGTAGAACTAATTGATACAATTCAGTCGCAAGGAAGTGAAGCCTATATGATGGCTGCTGCAAAAGTTCTTAATCCACCAAAGCAAAGCTCCAACTGAAGTAGGATTGGACAATGTATAACATTTTTTTTTTTTGGAGCTTCTTTACCCAAATTGACCAACCATAAAGGCATTCCACGGGGGTGTTAATCATGCATGATTCATGATGTAAGTGAGTTGAAGGAGTCAAATTCCATTGACACACATTTTTTAAGAGAAAACGATGACCATGGAATTGTTGAATCAGTTGATGTTGAACAATAAGGTTTCCACAATGGTTGGCACTTTTTCTTGACCACCAGAGCAAATTTATCAGAATGATAATGGAACAAATGTCATCAATAAGGCCTTCTTGATGCAACTGACTAAAGATGGCAGGTTGCCATTCCACAATACTTGAAGTATTAAAAGAAAGACATGTAAACTAGAGTGAATGAGGAAAGGGGCATTGCACAAAAATATGATCCAAAGATTCAGCTTCATCCCAACCAAAAAGGCATTAAGGTGTGTAAGGTAAATGATGTCTTCGCAAAACATCTCTCACAGGTAGGGTTTGATGAAAAAGCTTCCAAATAAGGATGCACTTCAAAGGGAACTTTAATTTCCATAAAACAAACTAGGGGTGTTAAGTTTGAACCTATTCTGATTGGCCTGGTATCGTCCCGATCATATTGGAATGAGTCTTGTCCCGGCCTAAAAATAATCAGGGTGGGACTTTATGAGATGGGATAGGAAAGGGGTTCAGGACGGGATAAGACACGGGATTACCATTGGGACATCCCGTCCCATCCCAAATATTATATATATATATATATATTATTTTTTATTTTAAATATATTAATTATATTAATATAATTTATATTTATATTAATTATATTAATTATAATTTCAATAATTACAATTCTTATTTAAAACTAAAGTTTTTTTATATTGATAATTTTAATGACATGGAGTAAACATGGCGATATCTTTCTTTATAATATATTAATTATATTAATATAATTTATTCTTATATCTATTTATTTAATAACTTTTATTTATAACGTATTTCTTGCTTTATTTTCAGAAGAGTAATTAGCTTAGTACATCTCCACTAAAATAGAAGAATAATGATTTGATGTTGTGCTTGACTTGCCTGATGTTGCTACTCTTATAGCATAAAGATTGCTTGTATTTGCTATTATACTATGTAGTTATGATTAATATAATTCAATAATTGACTTTAAATTATTGTGATTTATGTACTTGTATTGTTTTGATTTTAAACTTAATAAATTATATAATTTTAAATTTTAATGAACGTTATTATTCAAATTTTTTCTAATATTATCCCATTTATCGGAACTGTGGAACGTCCCGATCTTGTTTTGGTCCCTTCCCGACTCTTAATAGGATGGGATGACTTTTAAGACGGGATGGAACACGAGACCAAAATTTAATCTCTATCTTTTTTTCAAGACGGGACACAGGATGGGGATGTTCCGATCCTGTCCCGTCTCGTGAACACCTTACAAAAAAACCAAAAAACTCAAAATTCTGTGTAACAGAGGA